GCATTCTTAAGGAACAAAGCATCTCACATCTAATGCCAGAATATCCCAGACTGCCGATAGCAGTTTAGGATTAAATGGTCACTTTATAAAACAAGCATACAACTTTCAGCAAAGTATAGAGTTTTATTTCCTTAAAACCATTTACTCAACAAAATTGCTGTCACCTTTAAATTAACTAACAAAGTCAGTGGAGTACAAAATCAATATTTATACAATGAATCTAAAAACTAAATGATTCCTCATATGCTGAGCAGCAGAATATAGTTTTTTTTTTAATAAATAGTTTCTAGTGAAAAAAATAACAGCTTTGTCACAATTCACAGTAGGAAGGGGGAAAGGTAAAATACATTTTTGTGGCAGAGAAATGTAGTCATGCTTTGAAGAATGCATGTCAGAGAGATCCTCTTTTGAACTTGCTCTAACCGCACCACTTAAAATATTTCTGTGCAGCAAACAGACCTTGTGGTGAAATATGTTAAAAAGTTCAAAATGGGGAAGCAAATCAGAGGGTTTCGACACTGAATTTACCCACACAGAAGCTTGTGCGTGTTAGCTATTAGGGTGCAGTCTGAAACAAGTATGCCAGCTAAACTAAATTATGCTGAATGACAATATCAGAGTAATGCTACATATGTTATCCCAGTGGTTTATATTTCACTCAAAAGGAAAGCCAGTATTACTTTTAAAGTTTACAGATGAGATTAGGCAGAAACATATGACACTAGCAGACAACCATGAGTCATAACAAAATCCTAGTAAACCTGTCTGTGAGAGATTCTGCAATGAAAATCAAAACCACAGAAAAATTCACTACCTTGGCGTTTGAACTAGGAAATCAGAATCCCTGAATTTCTACATGGAATATTTCCATGCAGCATTCTTGTACAGAAATAAAGAAAAAGCATCACTGCCTGTACACACACGTGCCTGAATTTGAATTTTATGAAGCTTGAATTTTATGAAATCTGTGAACAAATAGCAGGTTGAATAAATCTCAGTTATCATCGAGCAATTACTAAATACTGGCCTATATTATTCCTCATCATAATAAAGCTTCCAAGAAAGAGTCTGGTAAAAGAAAATTTCCACGAGCATTAACCATTTATTTTTACAGAAAAATTATTTTGTGATAATACTCCCTGTCCTTTTTACCCTACTCCCTCAGAAATGCTTGCTTTCCACAGAAAAAGTCTCCCAGAAAAGCTTTTCAGACATTAGCCTGAACTGGACCACTTGCACCCGGAAATACCAGTGCCTCTTGCATGGTTTGCATGGAATATAGTGCCAGGCCTTTCGGCTGGCCTGACTACATCTCCCATGATGCATGCTGGCCACTAGATTCCCAGGATCCACTCAAAAAGGGATGAGATTTATGGGAGGTGATTCTACTTGATCAGGAAGTTGAGTTCATAGGAAAACAGAGGGCTCCTGGACTTCAGGCATGTAAAGAACTAAGGAAATACCTCCAAGATAGCACATTTTTAGGATTTAAACAGATTTTCACTGTTTTGGCTGTCAGGAAAATTCTTTTACATCAATTGTTTCTTGAAGAGTGATGATTTTTGAAATGAGAGAAGGAACAAATGGCCTTCCTGGACAAAAGAAAACAAAACAAAAAAACCAAAAACAAACAAACAAACAAAAAAGCTGTTCCGGACAAATTCTCCTTGAACATAAAGAAAGTTGGATCTTGTTTTCTTTTTGGTCTCATGCCATTGCTCGGGAACTTGAGAAGGATAGAGAGGAAATTGCTTGTGCAAACATTCTTCTGTGCTGACCCAGCAACAGGAAAATCGGAATGAAATTACAAAATGTAACCAGTACAGGTTATTGAGGATGGAATATCGTTCTGTAATCAATCCAGTTTCACTTGCGTGTCAAGAGACATTTAGAAAAACTCCTGGTGTAAGACCAATATGAATAAGCTTGCAGAGTACCAGTACAAAGTAATGTTGTTAATTCTTTCTAATGTTTTTTCGGACAGTGAAATCACTGGTACAGCTGGAACACCAGTAACAGTGTGATTAACATATATATCAAAAATTAGTCCACAAATGAACATATCATGCTGCATAAAAGCTGATGACTCATAGAAATTTCTGAGAAGCAGAATCATTTAGAAGGATGAGAAGCGATTTTTATATAGTATTCCCTTATGAGATCCTCACTGGAACCATAAATTTCAGTTTAGTGGAAATCCTCAATACGCATAATTAGAACACTTCAGCTGTGCCTTACAGGGAAAATTGACTTCAACACCAGGTGATCTAAAGTCTCTCATCGTTATAATCAGATTTTGTTGATTTTTTGGTGTTTGCCGCTGGAGGAACAAATAAATGACAATGATTTGCAGTTTCTTCTCTTCCTTCCTCTTCTATTTCCCCAAACATCCTAGCGCAAAGCTGCATTTTCACTATTCAGAAAATTTCTGAAATTTTATGCAAATAGAAATGGATGTTATGCTATTTATTCACAAGTTTATTAGTTTTCTAGCTGCCATTCCAGTATCACCACGTGTCCTTCGAAGACAGGTATTTGAATAGCTTCACTGACCATGGAATTAATGACAAACTACTTACGCACTTGTATTAACTAAGACCTAAAACTGCAAGAGAAAGAAATTCAAATCCACCTCCAGGACCATCCTTGTTCACCCTTTCTGACTCTTTGCAAAGATAACGGTAAGGAACCTGTTAAGCTGAGGCTGAAAGCAACTGTTGTAGGACTAAAATTAAGAGCATTTAAACTAAAATGGGAGTGTGTAGCTTTTGAAAGAGAGATATTCCAAAGTACTCCTTCACATCAGTTTACTTCATTTATCCAATTTCTGTATCTGATTTTGCTTCTATAAACATTTCATTAGTGCATTTGAAGAGCTGCTTTGCCCCTTCACTGGAGTGCCGCACCACACATAGTATGAGCATATAATTTGACATAAAATGAAGTTGTATCTTCCACAGCACCTGCACTTCTCTTTACAACATTTATGTACTCTCTGAAATGTTCTGATGGGGCGGTAACAGGGAATTTCTTGTGGCTGAGCACTGACCCACTTAATTTTCTCTGAGGCATAAATATTTTAAGGATAATTCCTTTCAAAATCCATTTTGTTTTATTTTCAGGGGCTTTAAAGTGCCATGCACGAGGATTACTTATTATCATAAATCAGGTTTAAGGACAGCAAGACCCAGCTGCCTGTTCTTTCCGCCCTACCAGGCCTACACTGTCTCTCCAGAAAGCTGTAATGAATGAGAGTTCCATGACAACAAACTGTTGCTGTGTGTTAAAAGCAGGTATTTGCTGAAACTGATCCTTTCTCAGGAAATAGGCAGTGAACTGGCAATTTAAAATCAGCAAGCGAGCCAAACCCACTCTTACTGGGACATTTTCTGATTAATTCTACTCATAACCACAGCTATTTATTTTAACTGCAGCCAAATATCTGTTCAAGTGGATGACTTAAAGCTACAATAGAAAAAGGCCTGTTTTTCAAAGGCTACGCTCTCCCGTTTTAGAGGAAATGCCCTTAATTTTAGTCTTACTGCAATTGCTGTTGGCCCCAGCTTAAGAGGTTCCCACAGCAGAATGTGTGGCTATCACTGGACTACCCAAACTCCTTTTAGGCTGTTTCTCCTGATTTATTGCTGCTGTAAAAGAGCCCAGATTGAGGGCCTTGCTGGAGTCAAGGGACTCAGCAGCACCAGGGAGCCACGATTGCTTATTCAGTGTTGCTGGAGGGGCTTAAGGGCCTGCTAGCAGTTGGTCTTCTGCAGGCTGGAGCTGCGATGCTCTCTTGCACCCCAGACCAACGCGCCGACAGCTCCTAAGCGTGGGATACAGCAGGGGCACTTCCAAGGAGATGCTCCAGGTGGTCAGACCAGTACATCCCTGTCTGTATAAAACTCATGGAAATGTCACCTGAGCATTTCAGCAGTAATGGAAGAGTTAAATGGAAGCCCTGCATAAATCGCATTTTGCAAGAACCGTTCTGTTACAACAGATTGTGCAGCACTATTTTTTCCCACTCTTTCTGATACAAGCACCCTAGGCAAACTTTCTAATTAGAGCAGCAGATGTATGCAGTGCCATGTCTCTGTGAAGTTATTATGCCCAAACTAAATTTTGTCACTAGCAGCCAATAATTCGCTTGTCTATGAAGGGCTTGAAGTGGCCATATCAATTATTTAAAAACATACCAAGAGAAGGAATCCATTTGAAATCTTCTGGGAAGACCAGATATAAAAGAGCTCATGTTCAGATTTCACTCCAATATTGTCTTTTTAAAAATACAATATTACTAATTAAGGCTTAGTGCATTAGGCCATTAGAGTTTGAGTGATTCATGACAGCATAACGATCTTCCTTATCATTTGTATTTTAATTTATGGGGTACTAAGAAAAACAAAGGGAAAAAAAAAAAAAACAAGCAATTTGCAAAACTGAAACTCATCCAAAATTGCTTGCAGTAATTTCTCCTGAAAAGTGATTTCACTGTAAGTGCTATGCTGGTAAGAAAATGCTTCCTATCAATAATTAAAGTATAATGAAAGTTTCATGTGTCAAAAGACACCCTCAAAACAGATCCACAAAGAAGAACATTGCCTTTCCTTCAGACCTACCACATTTTAAATCTCACAGTAAAACCCTCATAAAGGAAGCATTTTTAAATAAACTTTTTAGGGAAATACAGGACTATCCAAAACCCAGCAGAGGCTGTAACAACAGTGAAAATTAACACAATACTAGCAAATGTAACAGCAGAAGAGATGAGTACATGAAGTGTCAAGCATCCCTAACTAACAAAGGTAGCCATGGAAGTTGTGGATAGGTACCCCGTGGCACAGAAATGTTCCAGAGAAATGTTACACTGAATAAGCCTGTTTTCCTACAGAATTATGTTATTACCAAATGTCTCGATTTTCTTAAAAAGTCCTGCCGCTGACTGAAGATCTTCCTGTGGTTGGAGTACTTCAGAGTCCTGCCTGCTGCCCATCAATCAGCAATTCTGTCCCTCTGTGAGTAGCTAAGAGGCCTTCTCATCGGTCCAGGCACATACTCGGATAAAGCTTCTAGGAACCAGATTATCTTCTGAGCCCTGTGACAAGTGTGGCTCATACTGGCAATTAGATGGAAAAGATACTGGAGACAAAAGCAGGAAGGAAAGAAGCAAACTGACACAGAACATAATCGCATGAGACTTTCAGAAAACCAGTCTAAAAAGCAGAACACTTCTGCATGCTGGTTTAAACTATCCACATCTAATAACCACAAAGATAGGAGGTGAATGGGATTTTTAGAGAGGTCCTTTGCATATAATACTCTTGATTATTGATTGAAGCAAGGGATTAAAACATGTTAAGAGTGGGATTATTTTTCAAGAAGCCTAAATCTTCTGTCAGCTGATCCCATCACTTCCTCAGTGGTCCTTAGGAAGAAAGCTGTCGGCTGTGGCAACTCTGCCGTCTTCATGCTCTGTGAAAGAATGAGTTAATGCCAGCAAGCCAGCAGACCGTCTGTGCTCAGGAGGCCCAGGAGGCCGTCAGCGACTTCCACCAGGAGGAGGAATTCCTGCCAAGGAGGCACCTCAGGTAATTGGCAAGCCAGTGGGCGAGTTTCATCTAAATAAAAATGTTAGGCAGGCTAAGTGAAGGAAAGTTAGCCCCTGAAACACGTAGGTGGAGCTGAACAATCTGAACAACTGTGAGCAAACTGAAGTCAGGCCGTTTGAAGATGAGCCCATGACACTGCCAAAGCACTCGCTAGAAACACTGTCATAGTGTAAATGCTGTTTGATTCTGCAGGTATGTCAGGCTTGGTGTGGAGGCAGTGATTATGCGACTGAGGAGATTCCTGTTTTAAAAATAGTTGGAGCAACTGTAGCCTGATGAAGGAATGAGAACTCATGACATCTATAACTAAAGATTTTTCATAGTTTCTATTTAAAATGGTTTAATATTACAGAGATACTCACCTAATTGGGTTGTGTGGCATTGAGGTGATGATTAAAAACATACCTGTGTTGTCAAGATCATATATACTAATACATATACATATTCATAGCCCATAATCCAGGAGAAGATACTGGAGAAAGGAGCTCCAGGAGCTCTCTGAAAATGTCTCCACCAGTGTTATGTTGCAAGAATGAACGTTCATCGTAGCACTTTCTTCTAAAACGTCACCTTTTCTCTTTCATCTCTTGATCCTCCCGTAAAGTCACTACCTACCATCTTCTGCAACTTCAGCTACTCAGACAAACCTGGAATGTGCCTCCCTTCTCTACTTTTGCCCGTGCACATAATCAATCCACAACTAAAATTACTCATAACAAAGTACACCAAGTGGCTCTTCCTCTTACCTGTCAAGCTTAGTTTCTCACATTTGGAAATACAGGTTACTGCTGTTGAATAAATGCAAAACTCCATTCCGCAGGACTGTCTCCTGTTGAATAAGGTGTAGTATAAGTTGATAGTAGCATTGCTGAAGTTAGGTTTAGAATAAACTGGAAATGCCAGCTCCTTTTCAATACTCAAGTGCTTTGATCAGTCTTTACCATTTGGGAGCTTGGCATGCCATTATAGGCCACAGCGACTATTTCCCACTACTCATCCAATTTTTTCATAACTTGGTTCCTCAGTTTAGAATTAAGTAATTCTTGGGATTTCTTTCCTCCTCTTCCTCCCCTGCCTGCAGCCCCAAAGGTTGAAACTTCTAATTTTGTCTTTCTTAATTTCATCTCTGTTCCCCTAGACATATTCCCAGCACCTACATACCTTCCTTTCTTCCTCTAACGTTTTCTAAAGGTGGTGAGAATTCTTCTGTGGTTAATTTAAGATTAATTTTAACCTTAACTTTAACCTTAACTAAATTTTATTAATATCAGAAACATAAACAACACCTCTAGTCTGTGTGCACTGCATTCTTTTCTGCCAGTGAAAACCCTCTCATGTTCTGAACAGAATTACTGCAGAAGACTCCAGGCTACTTCCTTCCCAACTCCAACTTTGGTGCATGCGCCTGCTGGCAATTTATTCCCCTACACAAATCTTGAATCCCTTCCATGCCCAGATCTGCAGGACAAATATGACTCAGCACATACTCCTACAAACACTCATGAGAAACTGCACAGCCCCATTAGCTTAAATGGGACAAACCTCGTGAGTGAAGATATTTACCAGTATGGGTTTACAGCTGAGAAATGCAATCTTTCCATGAAAAGGATGTCTACACCTAGAATATAGATAGCTCATTACTAAGAGCCTACCACAATGCAAATAACGTACATAAAGTCTTAGTGCAGGTGAGGCAAATGTAGTTTTAGTATGTTGACAGGCCCAAGAGAAAGCAGAAAGTGTCTTGTGCTGTATAGCTAATATGAACTAGAATTCCAGCTGCTGTGGGATTTTACAGAGTTTTAAATACCACTTTTCGGCTAGTAAATAATAGAATGCTTTTCAGCCATCAAGACATCAAAGACACAGAAGATTAATGACAAGTAATATAGTTTTTCCTCTTTATAATGACAAATGCAACAAATACTTTATTTAAATATGCATCTAAATGTATAACACAGTAATGTATAAAGTGGTTCAGGAGTACTCAAACTCAAAAAAAGACACTGATGATCATATTAATCTAATTATTCTATTCTATTATTAATCTAATACTTTCACTCTTTCTTGTGGAATGTTAATTAAGATATTTCATGCATGGGACAATGAGTTTAAAGTTTCAATCAATTTAAAAGATTCAATATCATGACTCAGCTCCTTGGTTCTTTCAAAGGACAAAAAAAAAAGAAGAATATGATGAACTAATGCCCTTCACTTTTCAAAGTAAAGCTGTTTCAATTAAGATCTTTAAATGTAAAAAGGACAGTGTTTGCCTTTGCTGCCTTTTATTTACACTGTACATCAAGGAACAAAATAAGAGATACATATTCCTTTTTCTTGTTATTTTATTATTAGAAAGTGAGCTCAGAACTAAAATCTCAATATAATATACGAATTTCCAGGCCTCTCAAAAGAAGCAATATATGTAAATTCACATGAGATCCGGTGCATTCTTGATTACATCCATTGGATAATCTGACTTGAAAATAAATTTGCTTAGAGCTTGATGGTTACCTCTTAATTATAAAAATAATGCTCATCTTCTTGGGCCCGTCTAAATGTTAAAGTATCAACATTCACCAATTAAAATTTAAGCCAAGAGAGAAACAGAATTTGTTCAAACCATAAACAAAGGTTGCTTCTGTCTCAGTAGGACTATTTATAGTAAGAAGACAGAACTAAGCCAAATGAAAATGAGTCTGCAAAATCCCTGTAAAATGCTCTGTACCGGAAAACAAAACCTTTTCTTTAAAAATTTCCCCAAGACAAATGTGGGTAAGGTGCTTTGTGTAGCACTCTGATGGTCAGAATCAGAGAACAGTTCAAGATTAGAGACATAGCCATGGACGAGGAGCACGATCGTAACCCCACTGCATGCAATGCTGCAGCATGTCCTTCATTTAGGAGTCCTCAACATTGCTGAGCTCTCTGTCATGCCAGGCCGTGACCACAGGATGACAGTCAGCAGGCTTGATCTGTACTTCGGGGTTGTAAACTCCGTGCAGAAAAGAGCATTGACACTAACGGAGAAGACTAAATCAAGAATGAAGTAATGTGAGCAGGCCACGAACGTATTTAAGGAGAAATGAAAGCTGAATTCTTTAACAGCTTCCGAATTGTAGTATGGGAGCTCAGAAGTCCCTAAATAGTTGTAAGGAGTTTGATCAGTACATGAAAGGAATTATATGATATGTTGGCTGCAAGAGCAAGGGACTGCACTGAATAACCCAGGAGAATCAGTCAAGTCTTCTTATGCAGTTCTCTTAATGCTTAAGGTCAGGTAGAAAAAGCAGCATTTAAAAAAAACATGGTATGAAAAGACATCAGAAAACATAGATCAAAGTCAAATCTAAGCTCATCAAGTAGCACATTTAATTTGTTAGAATTTAAAAATATTTTATTTAAACACGTTAGCTAAGATTTTAAAAAATACATCCTCCATTCTAGTCTAGACAAGCATGACATCATCTGCACCATCTTATTTCTTCCAATGCTGAGAAAACTTCTTTTTCAGCTCTTTGCTTCAAAGAGTTGGATTCATTGTGGGGTAATCTAATTTTCCCACTTAAGTATATATATATCTCCAAAAAGATTTAAGAGCTTTAGATTTCATTTATTAAAATAAAATATTCTAAGATCTGCCACCTCCTCTCTGTAGGCATTTTATTGTGAATTTCTCTTTACTTCTCTATTCTTCTTGTACAAAGAAAAGCTTGAAGCATGTGTTATTGTTTAAACATAAACTTAACAAATTCTGTTAAGCTTATATACCACGTTGCAGCTGCAGTTACCAGGCAAAAAAAAAATAAAGAGGCAGAAAGATGTTTTGTTTGGGAGTCATAAATATTGGATAAAAAAAAGAAAAGTGCAAGTCCTTATGAACCACCCTGAGCGCTGTGAAGGAGGTGCAGGTGGAGGCTGTGAGAGAGCAGCCACCGGCGGCCTCGCCGAGCTCGGGCCTCGGTTACTCCCGAGGCGCTGGGGTGAAGGGAGGCAACGGGAGCAGCTCCGCTCCACGGGGGCCATGCGGGCTCGGAGCTGCCCGCGAGGGACGTGGGCTTCCTGGGCGCTCTGCAGCCCTTCCTCACCGCACACAGTCCCAAGGAAAGGGCTTCACCGTGTGCTTACGGGTGGTATCGTCAGGCTGAGCATTGTGCTCGGTTCGACAGGCAGGCAAGACCTGTACTGGCTTTTTATATCTTTCAAATGCTTGCTTTTGCCTTCTAAATGTTTGGACTCTCTATTTTCTTCTTTGCATGTAGTTATCTAAGTAGCTCACTACAAATAGTGTCCCTGATCAACCTGAACTGGAGATACACTTTAAATCTATAGTGTATAGCTCCCTGTCACCTTCTATCTTTTCTGCCGTCCACCATTTGTTAAACCGACTCTCTTTCAGCGCAGCCGCCATCTCTGGTGATGGCCTTGTATTTTCTGCTTCTTACATTTCAATACAATTCATTAATTCCAGCCTGGTGCAACGCCTTTTCCTCTTCCAGCCTCTCTCTACATTTACCTTTTAGCATTTTTACTTCTGCAGGTACTTTGCTCCATTTTTATCAAACTCTTTCCTCGATTCCAGCTGCTTTACTACCAATGATTCTGTCTCCCATAGTCTGCATTCCTAGGCTGCACACACAGGTATCAGGCAAAACCAAAATCTCAGTGAGGGGGCAAATTTAGAAATTGTCTTTATGATTTTGGCCTCGAGTTTGCCTTTGTAGTGTGTCCTGGAAAGATCTCGGAGGAGTGGATGATCTGATATTATCCATACAGCACTTCAGATTTTACCTTCAGACTTGAAAGAATCACAGAATTCTCCCTTTCCCAGGTTCTCTCATATTGCCAGGTGGGGGAATTCTGCCGATCATTCCTCCTCAAAAGGATAATACAAGCAGTGGTCCCCACTCAAAAAGAGTAAGAAGTCTTAGAATTAACCCAGTGGTTTAAGACCAGTCAAATCTGCATTTCTTTCCTAGTCTGTACCCCACATCACCTCTGAAAGATAATTAAATAAAAAGAGTGAAAGCACATCCTCCCATCCTCGTTTCACATCTTCCTTTTACTGCTACTTAGTATTTTGTTTGCG